TATTCTTGACGGTGGCTTGACTTACTTTGATGAAAATGAGTTGGTTGTTGATGGTGCGATATGGTTGAGCCAACTGATTGAACATCTCGTCAACGAAGTGATTGAAGAGGAGCTTGTTGGATTGGTTCAATGATGTGCGGAGGGGTACTGTATAGTTTGGGTCGAGCTCGGTCAGGCATCGTACCCGAAGTGGATCATTGGCCGCCTCAACCAGTTCGCTGAGTTCGATGTCATTCTTGTCAAAATTTGAGATGGAAAATGCTTCGGCTGCATCTGAGTTTTCGCTGTCACCGTCAGGGACACGAAAGGCAACGGCTCCAAGTGGTGCTGCTGGGTGTGACGGTGGGTTGGTGGATGGTTCAGGTGGTGGTGGTCCGGCGGGAGAGTTGGGTCGAGCGGTGCTGTGATGGTGGTCGTCGGGGTAGTGACTGTTGTTCCATTCACCCCAGGTGTCATCAGCATCCGGTGTGGGGATGAAGGCTGGATTGGATGGACGTGTAGCTGGTCGTAATACGACTTCGCGGCCTCTGGAATGACGACGAGGCGTTCTGGAGCGTGGTCTGGGGTGAGATCGATGACGTCGAGGAACCGCTGGAGAGCGTCGTCTGGGTGGTGATCTTCTTCTGTATGGAGAAGGTGTTCGGCGGTCCTTGTCGTGTTTTGTCGAAGGCCGAAATCGAGGAAGGGGAGAGCGAGGTCGAACAGCACGGGGAGGGGAATGTCGACGATGATGCGGTTGTGTGGAAGGTCGGCGGGAGCGTGATCTTCGAGTCCTGGATCGTGGTCGGCGTGATGGCGATGTTGGAGCGTGTGGATGGTGAGGAAGAGGAGCAGCTGGAACAGAAACGATACGATGGTCCGGAGCTTCAGGTTCAGTGGGTCGCGCTTTCGGTGCAGGTGGAGGCATGGTTGTGGGTAGTGCCGATGTAGGTGATGGTGTGGGCGGTGTGGGGCCAGTTGTAGGTACATCGTGGTGAAGAAGTTGTTGACGTTGTTCTTGAGCGCGTTGGGAGTCCAGGATCATCTGTTGTTGAGCATGGATAAGACGAACCGATTCAGCCAGTTGTTGTGTGGTGGAGCCCAACGCTGCAAGTTCTGGTGAGATGGGCGGAGACGGTGTTGTCGTTGGTGCCGGTGGTGTAGCAGGAGGTGAGGCTTTTGGAGCTGAACGGCGTGGTTTGTCAGGTTTCTTGTCAGAGCGAAGTTTTGGGGCGGCCTTGACTGCAGGTTGTTGAGGTTCATCAGGAGGAAACGTAGATGCTTCAGTCAATGGTGGAGGGTGAAGGGTGCGAGGTGGGTACGGAGAGCTCTGCAATGGTGTCGATGGAGCCGGAGCCGGATGCCATGTAGTTGGAGCGGTGGGTGCCGTGGGAGTAGCGAAAGCCGGTGGAGCGGTGTGCACCATGGTGGTTTCAGGAACCATGGGTGTAGTCATTGTAGGCACGAGGTGGGGAGGTGGTACCGCATGAGGAGCTGTGGACAATGATGCGAATGACAAAGATGGTGTGGCTGAGGCAGGCGGCATGATCGAAGAGGACGAGGACCATGTAGGATGCAATGGCGAAGGATGTCCAAATAAATGTGCGCTCGGCGTTGATTGTGGCCACGTCGAAGAAGCAGTCGGAGGCTGCGGTGGAGCGGGCCAAGACGTCGGAGGAGGAGTCCACGGAAACATAGCTCAAGTAAAACGATGAAAATTCACACGCAGGACTCAGTTCCTATACCTACTATTCGTGCGATTGTGCCACAACAGGCCCGTGTTCCAGTCAGCCACAAGGGCATAAACGGCTTTCAAGTTCAAGCGAATTAGGTGCACGATATGTTTCACCTCACCAAATACCAAAGAGACCACACCTGCAGGAAGAGGACATGCCTGTTGCCTGTTGTCTCCCATGTCATGTTGCATCTGAAACGCTGAAGCTGCAGTTCAATTGTAAACAAGAGTTTCAGAAGTTCGGCATGGCTTCACTCAGCAGAAAAGCATTCCACAGGTTTCACAGGGGACCGCAGGAGCAGCGGGACACTCAAAAAATGGTGCAGAACGGAAAGGCCAACTGTTCCACTTTACTTAATCGAATTACTAGGTTAAACCTAGGTGACTCATTGATCTCAAAAAGGGAAGCCGGAGGCCGAATGGCCCATATGGCCTCCAAAAAGCGGTTTGGCCGTGGAAATCAAGTGGCACCGTGAAAATACAAAAACGTTTCGTGAAAACATAGGATAATGTGAAAAGCAGACAGCCCCGTGTGAAAACGCGGAGCACAGCTTGAATCTGCAAACTGCAAGCGTGAAACATGTGAAATTCACACAGGGTGAAAAACGTGAAAACGTGAAAACGTGAAAACGTGAAAATCCGAAGCCGGATTGTGAAAATAAACTTGTGATGTTTTCACATTCACTTGGCGGGCTCGAGCCAAAAAAAAAACGGTATGTGCCGTTTATATATATATATATATATATATTTGTGGTTTGGTGGTAGGTCTATATGGCACATACCGTGAATATGTAGCTATATGTGTATATATATATAGATATATATTACTAAATCCCTGTGGTTTGGCTTTCTGTGCGCCACATGCATGGACTGGATGCTCTTGGCATATTCAAAAAATGACACTCCAAAATGAAATTTCAAACATTTGACCATGTTTTGGGAGTCTTTGGACCTGCGGCCACTGTTTTTGCAACCCATGGCCGGCCTCTGTGTCAAATGCAGCAGCCTTTTGGGGAAAGGCGATTTGGTGCCACTGGTATTTGGATTTTCCCTTTCTACGTTTTCAGATGACAACTTGGTGAAAACAAACATGAAAACCAAACACGCAAAACAAACATGATAACGATAACATGCAAATCAAACATGAAAACAAACTCCTTGCTTCACAAAGACTTTTGAAACTTGAAAAATCGATAGGTTGAATCAGCATCGTTTTTTGACGTTGCGCTCTGCGATGGGAAAATCCATAGCGGTATCGCCACAAGGCTCACGGGTGTAAACTCGTTTTCTACTTGTTGATGCCTCAATGCTGGGCAAACTGAAACAGGAAAAGGGTTGAAAGCATATATCTCAACATGGCGATTTCACATTCGAAAAAAAACTCCGGTCAAACCTTTGCGCAAGGTGTCGCAGTTGGATTGTGCATCAACTGGCATGGTGCCCCTGGCATGATTTCATGCTGGGTCTCATTGAAGATTCCTTTTGCGGATTCTGGTGCTCAAGTTGCCCATGGAACCAGGGGGTGCCGTTTGTTGATCCCAAAAAAATAACGCTCTTTTATGGAAACGACCTTTGTCCAAGTAACTTCACTAAGTCCAAGAACCCTTTCGTCTAATGCCACCCGTTCATGCCCAGCATGCCAGGCTCAGTTCTACGTCCAAGGTGCCACCCAGCCTGGGCTGTGCAAGTGCTGGGCAGTGCAGCTGCGAAATTGTTCTGGGGCTGGTCCAACCCTAATCAATGTTTGAAAGGCGTTTGGGATCAGGTGGTGCCACACCAGGTGTGGTGCACCAAAAACCTCTAGCCATGGGTGGCGATGGGGACGAAAAAGTACGGCGCTTTGTTGAGGCATTTGCTGAAACCCCAAAACTTAGAGAAGCGCCTGGGACTTGAAAATATGGATTATGGTTGTCTCTTGGGTATGCATTTTCAGGCAGTAAGTAGATAGGATGTGATGTATATAGCTGGGAATCATATATCAGTATATATATATACACATATTTATTCATATATATATATATATATGTGTGTGTGAGTAAAATACATATTCTATATATATATGTAAATGCATTTACACACATATATATATATATATTTATTCATGTGTATACATTTACATAAAGAAACATATATATATATTGTACTGTCTATTTAGGTATATGTACATATGGATATATACATATGTTTTTATGTATATACACACATGTTTTAGATATTACTCGGGTCCGATGTTTCTAAATAGATTTGCTGGAGTGCACACCACACACACAAGGTTTTTTCATTTGGGTCTGGCTGATCTTTTCTTGTTATTCAGGTTGGCCTCACGGTCTTGGTGGACCACTCCGGGAAGTTGTTCGCCAAATCCAAGTGCACCGTAAAAGACGTCATCATCAACCAGGAGGATGTGGGTTGTGGAGCTCACGTAATTTCAACCACTTGGTGGCAATATGGTGGAAGCAACCTTTTTGACCCAAAATATATTAATACTTTTTTGAACCACACATGGGTCATTTCATCAGGGAACCTGAATTTTTGGTTTAAACATGGGGTCCTTTTTGATATCACATTTATTGACCATCAATGGGGTATACCGTATAGTACCCTGTGGAGGTAGTTCTTGCAGCTATTCGTGGGGCTGGTGGGAAAGCTCAAATCTCGGCATACACGGTCCAGAAGGCGTTGCTTCAGTTTTTCACTGAAAAAAAGCTATTCCCCCCTGGTGTCTATGCTGACATCCCTGCAGTGGAGTCATGGGCGTTGAAGTATGGAGTTGCACTCAAAAAGCTTGTTACTTTCTTGGCACACCGGAAAATGTTTTTATATTCCAACTAGTCCAATGCATTGTTTTCTTTCCAACCCACTATAGTTGGTCATCCTGAAGGTGTGGTTCAATCTAAGGTTTCTAGATTACGACGCTTGATGAGAAGAGCGCCGACGTCCAAGTACAAAAAGCTTACTGAGATCAAGCAACGAGCCAGGGAGTTGGGGTGGCAAACAAAAGGTGAAAGTGATGAGGAATCTTCTGATTCCGATTCGGAGTCGATGGAACCATGTTGGAAATGGTATTTTTACAATTACACATGTTTTGCCAAGATTCTTATGGGCAATTCCCTGACATTTTTTGTGGTACCAAGTATTTTGGTCACTCCATCACACCTCCAATCCACATGTTTGCCCCGTGGCTCAGGACCGCAAGCCCACTTCCAAGCCGTTATCAGGTTCCCTGGCGGATCTCGAGGAATTGAGCTCGACCACCACCCGCACACCTGAGAGCGATGTGTCGTCTGCTGCATTCAGTGTGGCCAGCACGAAACTTGGGCGGTTGATTGAGCAGCTCAAGGGATTGAAGTGTGGATCTCCCGGGGCAAGTCCGAAAGCAAATTCTACCATGGGTTGTGCTTATGGTTCTGCCAAAGGTGATTCTGATGCTGTACTAACCATTGATTCTGATGACGAACCTAGTGGTGATACTGGTACATCGCCTGAAGTTGCACCACCCCATGGCCTTTCCAGAAGCGAACGTGTTGCCCAGATTCTCAAGTCTGCAAAGCAAAAGCGTCTCCAGAAGGAGGATAGTTCCAAAGGGAACACTTGCCCCACAAATGAGAAAGAAAATCCACATGTCCTCCCTGACCATGTTGCTCGGTTCCATACCACATGTTGAACTTGTGATTTTTATTTTAGGGTGCCAGTCACAACACATTTCCAGTCATGATTCCCTTACCTGAAAGCTAATGTATTTTTTCACTGGCGAACCAAGGTTGTGAAAACCATTCAAAAGTTGCAGGACGCTCCAAAACCCTTTGCCCTCAAGGACACATATGTCCCCGCAGTGGAAGCCGCCAGGGCCGCGGCTGATGATCAAGGATCTGAACCCTCTGCCGAGGACAATGACGATGAGATTCCAGTGCCTCCCAAAGGACGGAAGCGCAAAAACCTTGATCTAGCACCTGATGGAAAGCCTTGGGACTATGCGGGTGTTCGCTCAGCTTTTTTGAAACAACAGAGGGATGAGAAAGGATTGAAGTTTCAGGCTGCAAAGCTCTTATGGGACCAGTCTGATACCAAGCGTAACTATTTGAAAGATGTTTCACTTCAGGAGTTGAAGCGTCGCAAATTTGTTCCTAAGGGGGCCACAACCAACCCTTGGGCAGACTAGGCTCAACTGAAGTCTGTGTTGCCGGTTGAAACTCAAACATGGGCTGGGGTATGCCCGTGCAGATCGAAGGAAAATATTGCTCGCTGCTTGGCAATCATATTTTGCAATCATGCTGCGTAATTAATTGGAAACTTGGATCCACTGTTTTTGGATTCTCTGTAGGCTATCCACATGCTTACAGTTCGGCCCTATTAGGAGTTCATAGCTGGAGGTAAAGTTCAGTCATGGTTGTTCATGGGCTCTTGCAATGGCGAGCGCCACCTGTGGCGATTTTACTAGCATTGCTGGTACAATGGAATACACAGATACCTCACACGGTGGAGACTCGCTTGGTGTTGAGGTAATGTTTTCAAACATATATTTATTGAATGTTTCACCATGCTTTTGGAATTATCTCCAAAACCGATTTGCCCCGCTAGTGGCAAAGCTGAAAGCCAACCAAGGTGCGTGATTTTGTGGAAGTCTTCTCAGGACATGGTGAAGTTAGCCGTGGCTTGCGCGATGTATCTTGGCAAAAAGAAACATATACCCACACAAGAAAACGTGCATGGCTTGAGCATGCTCCATATGATATTCCATTCAAAGATTTGATCTTGAATTCAAAGATGTGTTTCATGTTTTTTTTCCAACCTAGACACCTCTTCCCCATATTCCGGTTGCCTGCAAGGCTGGACTACGAGGGACCTCAGTGGATCTTTGTCTGGATGAACGGGCCTTTGACCTCACATGTCCTGCAGGATTTGGGTGCCCTGGTTGCAACCAACTTTATAGCCTCTGTGACTCTGTGGCACACATTTTCCATTCAAGTAGAACCCATTACTTGGTGGAAAAGATGAAAAAAAGCGAAACATCAGAGATGCATTGTGCTTCCAAATCGCGCGTTTTTGTTTTGATAGGTCCGTGGCTGTCGGTCTGTCACATCGGAGCTTAGGCTGGTTCTCAACGAAGTTATGCGATGCAAGCCTGGCAGCGTTGTGATGATTGCCCCTGATTGCAGGAGTCTTTCCAAGATGCCCCTTTGCCGAAGGAGTTTTAAAATATAAGATGATATGGATTTGATGATTTGACCGTTTTTCCTTTTGGGATATGGGCCTCCACCAACTACAAAAATAAATTTAATGTGAAACATAGTTAATCTATGGGTGTGCTCTTCAAAGATGGAACCCTTACCTGCTGTCTCCATCAATGAGCAATGTGAAACTTCAAAATGTATTTAATTGTATTAACACTTTTACTAAGGTCGCGCCACACAAGTGGCCGGACCTACCTCACGCCGTATGGAAACAAGGGATATCTCTTCGTGAGAACTGGAAATACCCTCTCAGGGCGTTCAGTGCTTATTGCATTGATTGCTTCCTGGTGTGGCCTGCGGTGGGTATTAGAACAACCTGATGGTACGTTTCTACCTGAACTACCACGGTATCAGTGGCTCTTTGGTGTCATGAAGGCCATCCCCAAATTCACATGCTAGGGAATTCGACCCCAAAAAATAATCAATCTGAAGTTTCATACTTTGGGAACTGGTAAGCTGAAAAGCCCAGCGGATTGATGGATATTTGCCCCTGTCCAGGTGTTCTCTACATCTATGTATATGGGGATATTTGGATCTGGCAGCCCCAAGAGGCATCGCCTTTATTCCAATGATGAACATCTTCTTGCTAGGGTTTACGAACGCGCCGGGTACATGAGCAGAGCCGACCAACAAAAATGTGATGTCAAGCTGGTGAAGAAATACATCGATAAACATGGACAACAAAGATGCACTGGTGTGAAAGGTTCACTGCGTGAATCGGCGTGCCCTGCTTTAACACACATATTATATTGTGTTTTTGAGGTGAATTTCTACGTCTTCCAAAATTACTGGATTTGTTTTTAATTTCATGTGCCCTCAATCTTTCTGAGTAAAATATAGGTGGATCGACCTGGGCTGCCTTCCCGAGGCACTACCCGGCTGCCTTTGGAGATTTTCTTGCGAAATTGGCATTGGAGCTACGTGATGCACCTTGGCCCAGTGTGCCAATGGATACCAGTGGCCCTTAAATCAATTGGGGCTACCTCTCTGTAACCCATGACCCATGAATATAGCTATATCGGTCCCCAATTTGAGTTATCATTTCAAAAACGGTGTAACTATTTCTGTTGGTAGGATGATGGAATAGATATTGCTATCAAAAAGGGTGGAATAGATATTGCTATCAAAAAGAAACATCTAGGATTTCCATTCACAATTTTTTGGGTCATCCATTCGACCATCTTTCTCATTTTTCTCGACCCTGCATTTTGGGCCCCGCTCGCCGCTGGCCCTTGGTTCTGAGGCCCCGCTTCCAGGGCCACTGCCTCTTCCACATGAAATCCCATCGGGCCTCACGGATTTGGAGCTCTTTAAGCATTTCTGCTTGCCAATCCAAGACCGTTGGGATGATGTTTCTGGGTTTTAAAGAATGGTCAGGTAAACTCACCCTGTGGGTGTGAGTGGGGGTGGGGGTGTGTCTGTGCACGTGTAATGCTACAATGCGCGACATGCACAGGAATCTATATAGGACACCTCGCTGTCCAGAAGTATGCTTTCATATATCCTTTACTTTTATAAATGTAGTTGAGAGACAAACAGTTAGGTGAGTGGATATATATATATATATATATATTTATTTATATTTATCGAGAGAGAGAGAGAGAGGCCATGATCAGAGGGAGAGATGGAGATATAGATAGGGAGATAGAGAGCGATAGAGATAGAGATGGACATAGATAGAGAGATATATATGTATATGTATATAGAGATAGAGTTTAGAGATGCATTTAGGGAGAGACAGATAGACAGACAAATTGATAGAGATAGATTGACATACATAATGGAAGACAGACCGGCAGACAGACAAACAAATAGATATACAGAGATATTAGACAGAGATATCGATAGATATAGAAAAAGATAGACGCATATATACATAGAGATAGATAGATAGATTAGATTAGATTGGATTAGATTAGACTAGATTAGATTAGATTACAGTAGATTAGATTAGATTAGATAGCTTTGGTGAAAGATAGATGGATAGATAGAAAGATAGAAAGAAAGAGAGAGAGAGAGAGATATATATATATATTTATGGGTAGATGATAGGAGGGTAGACAAATAGGCAGGTAGGTTGGTTGGTAAATAAGTTGCCAGGTAGTTATATATAGAATAGTTACTAATTGAACACATGAAAATGGAAATGGCATGAAATGGCCACTTGTACTATCTATCTATGTTTTGTATTTACAACTTAGTTGTTTAACTTGTGGAACATTGGAACATTTTTTGCACACTCCAGTGATTACATGTGTAACCAAAATATATCTATCTTAAAATTGGCATCTCTGCCATCAGGTCCGAACATATGTGAAGATGACTCTGGAAGAGTTTGGATATATCAAATATTTACTTATTCCCCAAATCCTTTCTCTATATAGACCACACCAGTGCACAAGGCTCACATATGGGCAGTGGTGGAGTACTTTGCACGTGCGAAGCATATCAACATTCCCCATGGTTGGGAACCTTGGCAGCTTTCATGGTGATGATGTCTGATTCTTGCGGGCTTTTATATGCGTTCTTCTTCGAAAATGCCAACCACAACCAATAGTTTGCCTGTTCAGCAATTTTTGATTCAGTCTTCTGCGACCTGATAGCCCCCAAGGATGAAGTGCTACATGAGCTCAAGCTGCGGCCTATGGGCAGTTAGTTCGTGTCCATACAATTTGGGGTTCCTGATGGCTATACAACATTGCCATCAATTATTTTGGAAATTCCGCTGATGCCATGGAGGGTTTACCCTTCTGGCTGTGATTTGATTTCAATCTTTATTTTGGGGCATGCATCCACCTCGCAACCCTGTTTCCCTGCTTGAAGTCGTGGTATTGTAAACAAAAAAATGTTTTGGATACGTTTTTCGTGTTTTCATGTGTTGGCGACTTTACGGTTGGAATATGATTTTCACGAAAATGCGATGATGCCATTTCAGATGACAAGTCTCAGAAAATATGTCGCATGAAAAAGCGTGCCGTTGGACGTGCGAAACGGCTGAAAGGCCATGAAAAAACGTGAAAAACGTGAATTCCTTTTTTTGCAAAAACACAACGCGAAAATCACGAAAAAAAACACGAAAATCACGAAAATCACGAAAACCACGAAAACCACGAAAATCACGAAAACATAACACCACGAAATTCATGTGTTTGTAGCTATGTGAAACCATATTTCCTTCCTGGTAGATCTTTTGATCAAACCTTCCCTTTTTCCGTTTTTCGGAACTGTCATGGCGAAAACCAAGAAAGTTGCGGGTGTAAAGAAGCAGCTTGTGACAGCAAAAGCCAAGGCAGATTCCCATGCGGAACCACCACCCAAAAGGGTACGTGGGAAACAAAATGCATGTGAAAAGCCTGTTGAAGACGTTCCTCCCCCTGTTGGCCCTCCCGAGTGTGACATCACCTGGGAGAATTTTGAAATCATCCAAAAGCACTATGGGCTTAGTGAGATGGACACGACGTCAGTCTTGCTGAGTGTGGTGGGTCCTGACACAAAGGGTTCCAAGTTTTGGAATACTTACAAGGCTAGGGTCAAGCTTGAACAGTCGGAGCCAGGGTCGGCCAAGCGTGCAAAGCTTGAGAAGTTTATCAAGAAGCCCGAGGTTCCCACAGAGCCCAACCCAACCATGTCTCCGCCCCCACGAAAGGAACTCTTTTGTCCTGAGCCCGTTGACAACCAGCTAGGGGACCCGACCCTTTACCCGGAAGATGAGATCCCTACGGAAGATGATTGTGAAGGCGAAGGTGAAGGTGAAGAAGAAGGAGACCCCGTCGAGGACCCTGAACTTAATGACACAGACTTGGCTGATGATGAAGGGGTGGGGGTTCCTGCTACTGGTGGTGGTGGTGGTGATGACCAAGATTCCCCCCAGGCCGGTGCTGCTACTGTCACTGAGGACACACAGGAGTATGCAGTGGAGCCTACTGAGGCCGTGGAACCTGTTCTTGAAAGTTTCCCCAAGGATGATCCAGCCAGGGATGCCCGGGAGGAGTTGGAGAGATCTTTGAAAAGGAAGCCCACACCAGCCCGTCAGGGACGCCATGTTGTCTATGCAGAACGTGTTGAGAGCCCCACACCGCCTGCACCTGAACTGGTTCGCAATCGCAGTGGGGAATACAAGTCCCTCTTGTTCCCATAAATTTTGCTTCAACAATGTGTTGTTTCTATTTTTCCCTCCAAACCTGCATATTTTGTTTTTGTTTTCCCATCCCTGCTTTTTTGTGTTGGTGATGTTTTTACAAATTCATGGCTGTGTGACCAAGGTCTTGCTCCACGCTTCAGCTTGGTCAGCAGCACCTATCACGACAAGCTTCTACTGTGAATCTTGGAGCCACGGGTTCCAGGGAATCTGATGTGGACACGGAGTTTTTTGGCCATAACTTCATGGGGTGTGTGTGCGCTTTGTTGCTTCTAATGGTAATGGTTTGTGCGTTCAATGTATCATTGTTCAAGCAAGCAAAAGTTGTTGTATGTATGAAAGTAAATAATGTTTTTATTGATCTATCTATATGTCTATCTATCTGCCTGTCTGTCTGTCTAGCTGTATATGTGTATGTATATGTGTATATGTACATGTCTATGTATGATTCTATGTATGCACCTTGCCCCTATATTTGAGGTTGGGGCCATCGGCATCGGAAGCTCATGCGCACAATGCAGAGCAGTTGGAGGAGTTTGTGAAGTCACTTTCTCATGTCCAGCATGTTCTTGCAGACCCCTCAATGCGTAGTGTTGTTGGTGCTCTTGCCCCTCACCTCTTGCAGTTGCTTCCGGAACCTGGGAACCCGAAAGCACCTGGGAACTTGAAAGAACCAGCTGATGATCTTGCAAAGGCGAAGGAAGGACTGCCTTCTTCATCCAGAGCTGGGCAAGTCATTGCATCCCTGGGGTGCCCTGTTCCTAAGGGTGGCCCTGTCATTCGAAGGAGCTCTGAGGCTGCCCCTGCCCCACCCGCCAAGTTGACCAAGACTGGACCTGCTGTTGCTGCATCCACCCCTGCCGTCAAAGCTGAACCTGCAGATGCTCCGCCCGCCCCACGCCCAGATACCCCGCCGGTGGATGCTGAAGTGAACAGCAGTACACACCGCGCAGCACACGCGCGTTTGGCACGACGCATGGAAAAACTTGACCCAGCCCAGTTCCCGAATGTAGCAAAATTGTGGTCGGGTGGACGCAAAGAATCTGGGGTTACAAGAACTAAAGCTGATTTTTATATTTTCCATTTCCCTTTATGGTTTTTGTTGCACCTATGCCGGAAACTATAGAGTTTTTCCAAGCATGGAACCTGTAGCGTGCTCAGGAGAAACAAGAACTTCTGAAGCAATTTGTTGCCAACGGCGAGAACCTCAAGCGGATGGAGACTACTTTGCACATAACCCGGGAACAAAGTGGGGAGATGACCCAGACCAAGGAGCTGCTCACAATCCCGCAAATGCGGGCCCGCGGATTCAGCCAGCCACGAGATTTAGAAAGAAACTACGTTTTTTCTTTCTCTTGTGCGTGTGCGTGCATGTGTGTGTGTGTAGTGGTTGTAACTTATTTGGCCTTGCACGTTTTCCATCAACCTATCCCATCCGTTCCATCCATCTCATCCATCCCACCATAACAAACTGAGACGGGGGAAGAATTAGCAGAGCTACACATACACACACGGACACACACACACATACATGCATGCATGCATGCATGCATACATACACATACATACACATACATACACATACATACACATACATACACATACATACACGTACATACACGTACACATTCATACACACACACATACACATACATACACATACATACACATACATACACATACATACACATATACACATACATACACACATACACATACATACTTACATACTTACATACATACTTACATACATACTTACATACATACTTACATACAAACAGACATACAAACAGACATGGCCACATAGGTACTGATTGACTATTTTATCTATGTGTTTTTTACATGCACATGAATATGTATATGTGCATATTTACAAGTGTTCAAAACATCTCAAACACTTAGAACGCGCTGTTCTTTTGATGATGCTATTCATTCAATCTAAGGACCAAGATCGACTCGATCATTTCGAAGCAGACACCGCATCCAGATCCAGATGCACCAGAAGACCCCGAGAGCGTTCGCTTTTGGGCCACGTGTGGTGGCTCTTTGTCGCAGAAGGAGCGCAGCACCATCAGCGCAGCAGCAGCAGCAAAGATCCAGAGCAATTGTGAAGGGTTGGCAGCTATGGTTGGGGCTGTCGATTTGGAGTCGGGAGAGAATGGGACCAAGGTTGGGAACGGACCAACGCTTAAGGCACTGGTGGATGTGGCCAACACAGCAGAGCCGACCCCAGCATGCAAAGCAAAGTCCAAAGCCAAGGCAAAGGCAAAGGCGATTGCGCAGCAGAGCCCCAAGACCCCAGCTGAACACCGCAAAGCACTTGGAAACCTGGACTTATTTTCCATACTCAGCTTTCCCTGTTTTTCATACCTTGGTTCCAAGATAAAGCCATATATTCTGGAATACCTTTGACAAATGTCTACAAAAGCATAAGTCTTATCCTGTTATCCTGTTAAACCAAGGAGCACAGCTCAAGAAGGAGTTGTCCCAGTGTGTTTCTGTGATTGCCGACTTGCCCCAAAGCAATAGTTTGCGCGCTCCGCTGCTCGAACAGAAGAACACCCTTGAGGAGAAGCTTGGAGAGTTCTCCGGTGAAATTTAAAAAACGATGGTGTGCCAAAGTTTTCTTTTTTGCCCCCAAATGATTCTGTTGTCAACCCATGTGCATGCTGGAAATGCCAGCTGTCTGGCTAAGGGTGAAGGATATTCCAGAGGATGATCTGGAGGACTTTGCATCGACATGTACGGATGTCGCACCTAGTCACAGAAACAAAACATATTACTTTTGATTTGTGCTCCTTCCACCTTCAAGTTAAAATTCTATGGGATTCGGTGTGGCTATATGGCTTATAATTGACAATTATGCGGTTTGTTTTTATCACATATTAATATTTGGTTATCAAAAGGGGGTCCCAAAACGGATCAAAAAGTCCCTGATCTATATTGGTCTCCTCGTCCCTGGCCCAGGTGAGAAACGCGAGGCTGATCCGTGCCCAGGCCAAGGCCGTGGCAATGGAACTGAAGAAGGAAGAGGCATCATGAGTTCGGCCTGAATGCGGCTGATCAATTCTTCAACGGAAGTTGGTGTTTTTGGCATGGGATGACTCATGAAGCTGGGTCATGTTACTTGGGCAGGGTGCTACATAGAGGCTGTCAGCCATTGGACAAAATTCTTAGTAGACATTCATAGTTTCCTTCAAACAAAATTGAAATGAACCAATTTGGACTGGTCTTTGTTCATCTAGGTGTTGGCCTGGTGGCACTCCTGCAAGAAATCTTGCACAAACAACTTCCTGGGATACCTGCGTAGGGTTGATGATTCTAGCACATAAGGTGCATGGCAGCATCGCAGTGGACTTGTCGAAAAATGTTCCTTCAACAACCGTTGTTTCAAATTATTTTCATGTCCAAGTCAATATCTGTGTGTTGATCCCCACGCAGGTGATTTTTGTCAACGGTCTGGCCAATCTCTTCACCTCCTACGGGAACAGCTGGACAATGCGCCCCTCAGCTATACCTGATAGAACCACATGCCTATCCAGGGCCCGACAAGTGTTTAAAAGCCAAGTATAGAAAAACACCCGGGGAAACTGGTCAACTCTGAGGTTGGCTTATTCAATTGGGGCTGGCTACACCAGTGTCAAGCACACTGAACTGCTGGGCTCGCTTTACGACTCTGACTTCATCCAGCACCTTGTCATGAATTTTAAGAATCTGGGAAACTGTGTATGAGTGGGCTAGATCGCTTTGGAAATGCTGTACTCTATCAAAAGCTTTGGAAACCTTTCGTTGGCACCCATGAATGTCATCTCTGTAAGGACTGGTAGAGAACATGGACTCCACAAACGTGCTTCGAAAGTTGGTGCGGCCCTCCCATGCAAAATTACTTGGATCACCATTCCTATTTTGGAAAGCCCAGATGATGAGACTTACCAGCTGGTGCAATGGCCGATCCTTCTTCCACAAGACTTCGTTTCTGATCTGCTGTGAACAAATTTTTAAGTCTGTCCAATTTTTCTGGCAACTGTGTTGGGATGTTGGGATGTTGTGGCTAGACCTTTTCTGCGGCTGCGTCCTTGCAAATTAAGGCTGCAGCTTTGGTGTCAGAGGGGTACCTCCCAGCGCTAGTGGGAAGTTTCGATGAGTTGGCGGAGTATTGGGAGGGGATGCTTAGAGATTTCCCAGGGCATCCAGCCAGGGATCATGATCCAGAGCTGCGCAGTTCCATTGGTTGCACCCTTTATGGTGACTTTGTTGCAATTTTTCCTTTGCCAAATGCTGACTACCAGGGTTTTTGGGGTTTGGTAGCACAGGGTTTCCAATGTTGCTCGCCGCATGCCCTTGATTCAGGTGATGAAGTGGATTGTCATGGAGACAGCTGGATGTTCCTACTTTGGTCGTCTGACACATCACCTGTGTCCACGCATTCGCCAAGTAGCCGTTGGCCGATTTGCATCCTTCCTGCAAGTAAGTATGCCTACGCTGGCGATGTCAACATCACTCTGCAAGCAGTGACCCAGGCCATTACTGCATCTTTCAATAGACTCAGCATTGATGGCATTCCAGTTCTGGACCTACCATCCCTGGGTGGCCGTGTGGTGGTCTTGGTTTCATTTTCATTCGCTTTTTGTGTGTTTCTGTTTTGTAGGGTGGACCCTCACAGTTTCTTAGGTTGTTTATTTGCTATGTGCTTTGGGTCCTTTGAGTGAAACTGTTCAACACTGCTGCTAGGTGGCGCGCTTGCACTTCTACTGCATGGGGCATCGCGGTGACTGGAAGGCTCTGGTTACCCTCTTCAACATGAAGAGGAACTACTCTGCCAACCAGGCGAGGTGGTAGATGTTTTCTTCTTTCGGATGATCGCCTTTTCGGTCATGACCTACAACTTTGAAAACATTTTTTCCCAGGTAAAGGGTTCCTTTGGCTGCAGGTATGTTGGCTTTGCCATGCCGACAAGGGTGCTGATGGGGACCTGAGCATGTGCCTTACGGATGTATCTCACTTTGCAAATTGGTGGGGCACTCTTCACCAGACAATGCCTTGGGAAACTGTTCCGAGCTATGCGGGCTTGATTGGCTTCGGAATTTCCCAGATCGTTCCAGATCTTCTCCATGTCTGGAATCTTGGTGTCAGCCGAGATTTGCTGGGGAGTGCTCTGAAGCTGGTTTTGTCGGAGCGGCATGTTTTCAATGGCCCTACTTTGCCAGATAGGTTGAAACAAGCCACTGAGTCACTACGGCGGTTTGCAAAGCAAAATCGCTACCCGTTGCGCTTGCGAAAGCTGACCAGGTCAAAGCTTTGCTGGAAAACCAGGAAGTACCCAATGTTGTCATCATCAGGATATGATGCCTACGTTGTGGGGCTCTGGCTGGAACATGAACTTTCTATGCACGCTGCCTTGTACCAGGAGATTTGTACCATGTTGTGGGCCAGCAACAAGGCCATTTCGCTTTTGTACAGTGCAGGGCGTTTCCTGAATCAAGGTGAGAAGGATTCTTTGGGAGCGCTTGGCGACCTTTTTCTTCGTGTTTACTTGTCCATGGCTGCCCAGGCCAAGCAACGTCACAAACTGACGTTCAGGGTGCGGCCAAAGTTGCACATGCTGTGCCACATTTTTCGCTCACCAAGGATGATAAACCCATCCCGGTACAGTACTTGGATGGATGAGGATTTCTTAAAGAAATGTGGTAAAACACTGGGTTTGACTGATGTGAGAGGGTCGCACCATCGACTACTTGAAAGGTGGTTGATGTCGATTCCCCACAACCTCCAGAAAAAATTGGGGTGCTTAGCTTAGCCACTTGAGTTCGGACCACCAGCCGGAGATCAACGCTAAGAAACCGGGCTTGGCACTCTGTGCGGCCGCTGGGCATGGACCCGGTGAGTAGGATGGCCAGCGGGCGGCTATATGTTTGGGTGCATCCTGTTTTGTTTTGGGTTCCGTCCTGTTTTGTTAAGGTGTTTGCAACTGATCCTCCACAACCGTAGATTTTGGATTTGGATATGGGAATTCCACCTAAATACATGAGGGATGAACATCTGTTTTGTCATGATACAAAGGAAATCGTTGGACTTCATTGTGATGAGGACATTTAAAACCCAAAAATTGGTGGGTATTTGTGTGCGTGTGTGTGTGTGTTATCTTGGCCTAAGCATAGGTATTGTATCTACAAGATATATATATATATCCTATATGTATTTATTTATATAATATATATATACTACATGTTGGAAACTTCCGCTTTGTTTTTTCAAATTACGCAACCCTTCGCATGGACGTCTCATGCAAAGGGGGTGAAACGTGAAAAAACACGAAAACGTGAATTTCGTGAATTTTTCGTGCGCCCTAAAACGTGAAAACATGAAAACGTGAATTTCGTGCACCGTGAAAAACGTGAAAACGTGAAAACGTGAATTTCGTGAATTTCGTGCACCGTGAAAACCGTGAAAACGTGAAAACGTGAATTTCGTGAATTTCGTGCACCGTGAAAAACGTGAAAACGTGAAAACGTGAATTGCGTGAATTTTCGCGCGCCGTCATTCGTGAAAACGTGAAAACGTGAAAATGTGCATCCTGAGCCGTGAAAACCATGAATTTCGTGGTTCTTTGGCTGTCTGGCCTCAAAAAAACGAAATGTGCGTGGAATTTTGTTTCCGTGGCCTTGGGTGGAATGGCTTCCGTTTTTGTGATCGAAGAGTCTTCTAGGAAATGTGTGAATTCAGAAGTCCGGACTGTCATCACTCACCCTGAAAAGGGTTGCCTCAAATGGCTCCACGGCACCATGTCGGAGCCACCATGGAAATCACACTAGACAAGAATGGATCATTATATGATCCGGCAGGAACTGAATCCTGAAACATGCAGATTAGATACGAAACAATGAAATTAACGAAGCATCCTACGAATAATAGAAGTTCTCCTGAATGGTTTCCATGTCCGAATTCGTCATCAAAAAGGAATCGGCGATCGTAGTGTTGATACAATAGTCCAAATACATCGCCGACATGTCGGCGAAATAATCCAAAAAACCAAAAGTATTGTCGGCGACAAGGTTTCGGCGAAAAACTGAGGAAGGTTCTGATGCATGTAAATGTCAAAATTGATTCCAGATTGCGACAACAGTGCAGTAAAAGGACATGTCAAATGAAACGGCAAGGTGGTTCTTGGGTTATCCACATCCCATCACGAAAACACAACCTGATGCAGGTACGTCCAGCTGGCCAAGCTGGATATCCCATTTCACTGGTAGCTTCGTTGGACACAGTCCCAGTGAAATGCTGTGTCCCCCTGCAAACGTAAGAATATTAGAAATGAAGAAGTTTTACATCTGTTCAGATGTTACACACACACACAGTTGCAGCAGGGTCTTTTGTCGGAAGAGCGAGTCCATCGAGCCTGGCTGCCTAAAAAGTTGGTGTCATCTCTTGCGAATCAGAAGGGCTAGGGGATGCCAGGGTATGAGGGGATGCCAGGGTATGAAGTCCTTGGGCCAGTGCTTGCAACTGCTCGATGGGGATGCCACGAGTGATAGTCGATGATGAGGCCGCAGGTGCAGAACCAGAGGTAGATTGGTCAAAGGGCAACGCACGTAGCTGAGCAGCCAACACAGGAATTGTAGGTGTCTGGGCATCGGTTGTTGAGGAGCGTTGGCCGTCCCTGAAGGCATAGTAAGGGCTTCCTTCGTTTGGAATGGTATCTCAAAGAATGCTCTCCAGCAATCAGCGGTACGACGAGAAAGTGCATGATCACCTGTTAGTAGATAAAAGAACTGCTCAGGTTGCCGGAGGCGGGCGAATCCGATGTGGTTGACCTCATGGATTCACAGTTCTTTTCGTTCCCTCATTGAATGTGTAGATCTTGAAGGTGACAGCGTGGACCGTTTGTTCAGTGCAGTATTCATTGTGTTGGCGGGGATCAGTGCTGTTGATGGCGTTCATTGGATCTGTAGTTGGAAAAGGAGGGGGAGGTGTGTCCATGGCTTGGGGCGCATAGCTCTGAGCAGGTAGGTCGAGGTGCCGAAGTCCCTGACGTAGGATCCATAGGTGCATCTGCTGCAGTCCCGGACGTAAGATCCATAGGTGCATCTGCTGCAGCTACGTCGAGGGTAGGTCGTGCTGAGGCGGCTGGCCACGACAGGTTTGCCATGGCAGAATCTCTTTTAATACGGAGATTGTGTAGAAGCTGAAAACGGCAAACGAAGTTACTGGCATCACAAAGGACAACGATGGGTCAATATGACGGCTCAGAACTCAGGAAAAATCACCAGGAAATTCAGTAAACAAGTCGAAGAATCAGCAAAATTCAAAACATAACCAAAAGGACAGGTATGTAAATGGTTGAAGCCCCATCATGTTCAATGCAGCGTTACCTTCCTTTCCGGAAGAAGATATCGAGACCAATCTAGGGCAAGATCACGCCAGATCGACGAACATGGCACGAAAGACGCTGTAGAAACAGATGTATGGCGAATGTCCAAGGGAAGTGCTGCCGTAGACATAAAGTCCGACTGCTTGGTGCGCCACTCAGGTCGATGTCTCCAGGAGTTCCATGACAGTGCTAGTTAGAGTAAGCTGAAAAGTATCTCCGTCCAAGTCGTGATAGCGAATCTACAATTTATCTCCTTCGACGTTGGGATCCCATTGATTCCAAAAGCACAACCTGGCAAAGGTCGCCCAACCGTAAGGCCCGAGCAGGTGCAGGAGTGTGGTGTTGTGCCTGCATAAACAATGCTTCTTGTTCAGCAATAGTGGCGTTGCTAAAGAAGGCTGGTCGAAGGATGCTATAGTCTTGGTGGTCTGGGTGGCGGTAGTGGGCTAAGTCTTGGAGGTCCCGGTAGTCCACAGCGACGAGGATGTTTCTGTCTGGTGGTGGGGCTGCTTTATATAGAGCGGGTCATACCGTCAGAACCATACCATTGGGTCATAGAATCTCGTCGCGAACCAGTCCGTGAGGTGCTGGCTGCTGAGTCAGGATGAGGTCGTCGTGAGTTCGGTCCATCAGCGACCCAGATCGAGGACATCACGTGCGAAACGAACGAAGGGAGCGTCAAGTGAAATTGAAATTGAAAGCTCAAACAAGCTAGCGGCGAGAATGAAAATTGTTGGAGACCAGCGAATCAAATGAAGAAAAGGAATAAGTGGGCAGACGGCTTTTGTCATGGAAGCGGAGTGCCGATATCGTGAAACTACAAACTTGAATCCGACAAACCCATTTCTATGCTCAGGTTCGAAGGTTGACGGTCCAAGGGCGTAGACGGAGTTTGAAAGATAGGGGAAGTAGGTGTCGCCGAAGTCCAGGTGGTTGGCCGTAACGCTGAGGAAGGCGTAGCAGTGCTGGTTGGTTGCCAGGCTAATGAAGACGGGTCACCTTGTGAATGTCGAAAAGCTAATCTTCCCCAACAAGCCTGCAAGATTGATGTGTGGTTCGGGATGACGGAAACAGGTTGACCAAATGTGTTCAGGATGAGTATACAGGATCGAGATCATGGGAGGTATCTGAGCGCGGAAGGGCAAGGACATCATCAAAATGTTGGCGCCATTGGTTTGCCACTGAGCGGAGTGTTCGGGGTTCGTTGGTCACATGTAGTGTGCCCAGGAAGGATTCAATGGAGCGCCAGGTTTCATGCCCATCAGAATTCAGCTCCACGATCCATAATTCATCGGGTTGGAGAGATAGGGGATGGGAAGCCTTTGTGATGAAAATAGTGTGCACGCTCTGAGCATGTGGTACTGCACGGGCTGAACGTGGTAAATACGAAGTGGAGGAGAACTCGTTACGAGGAGGTAGGTGTGGATGTAGTAGAGCGGACGCAGAGTGACTTGCAATAGGGTTGTCCAGGTCATGATGATCTTCTCGTAGGTCGGTTTTGCCAGCAGGACGAGGCATGATGAAGCAACGAATGAGCGAGAAATAGAACCAAAAAACCTTAAAGTATTGAGTACAAGATGTGGTGAACAATCAATATTTCTCAAGCCATCAAAAATAATATCAATACTGGGAACTGGGAAGTAGGCCGTCCGTGCGCCTTTTCCAAATTTGCGGCACCGGAGATCACAGACGTTTATCATGATGAGATCCGGAATGGACTAGGTCACGAGTTGGTCACCATAAGGGCAGTGTGTGTGAAGAAAGGATGTCCCCGTGGAACACTTTCAAGATGGAGAACAAGTCCCACGTCCGTGTGCAGGTACTCCGTGTTCGTAGTGGGGCCAAGGTTGCGGTATTGATGAGTCTTCCACTTCGGGGAGTGGGCGGAGAGGATGTCCAGGGTGCCGGCTGTCTGAATTTTCAGCAGATGGTGAAGTAGAAGTCCGAGGCGTTGAGGAAGATGGCCCAGCGTTGTGCGAAGGTAGTGATCACCAGGTTCTCGATCTCCTCAATGTAATGAGTTGTGCGCAACGCCACATTGAAGCTTTGCATCAGAATTTCGATGGTGAAACTTCAATCTACATGGATGACCGCTCCTTCACTGGTGCCTCTGCCACTCAACTGATCGAGCGAATTGACCACTGGAGAGCGTGAAGCCTGCAGGCGGGCCTCATCGAGTCTGAGAAGGCTCAAGACACGGCCCGCGGGCGGCCGGCAATGCGGGCACTTCAAACGATTGGGGAAGAATCTATGATCAAACCTGACGTTACTGTCTTGGGTATCGTCACCAGATCACTCCAACGTGGAAATGCACCCAAAGAGGAAGACCGCCTGGCGCTTGCAAACCGACGCCTGGCCCTTCTTCGTCTCTTGCATGTCAATGCCTCCAAGTATGCTTCCTATGCCCGGCTGTTTGCCTTGAGCTGTTGCTGCTATGGATGGTTGGCTCGACACCCTACTGAAACCCTGACTATGAAGTTTTGGGCAACAGTGAAAGCTGGGCAAG